GTCTCTCTCTCTCTCTCTCTCTCTCTCTCTCTCTCTCTCTCGCTCTCTCTCCTCTCTCTATCTATCTCTCGTATGCATTAGCATGTGCGTTAGTGTGCGTGTGTATGTGTGTGTGTGTGTGTGCGTGTGCGTGTGCGTGTGCGTGTGCGTGTGCGTGCGCGTGCGCGTGCGCGTGCGTGTGTGTGGGCGTGTGTGCGTTAGCGTGTATGCGTGCGTGTGTGTGCGTTAGCGTGTGTATATGCGTGCGTGTGTGTGCGTTAGCGTGGCCCACACACACCCACGCACACACAGACGCTAACGCACGCGCGCGCACACACGCACGCACGCACGCCAATGCTAACGCACACACACGCACGCATGCACAAGAAGAACACACACGCACGCACGCATGCACACGCTAACGCACACACACGCACGCGTACACACGCTAACGTACACACACACGTACACACGTTAACGCACACACACGCACGCACGTACACGCCCACACACGCACGCATAAACACGCTAACGCACACATACGCACGCATACACACGCTAACGCACACACACACGCACGTATACAGTTATCATGTATGTGCGTGCGTGTGTGTGCGTGCGTGCGTGCGTGCGTGTGTACATGGGTGTGTACAAATACGATCGTGTACCCGATGAAGCGGTTTGTTTCTGCCAATAGATGGAAGCACTATGCAGCAACCGTAGCATCATTATTTTGTACGCCTTGGATATTTTATTCGGTAGGTAGCAGCACAGGAAGGTGTCGGTGGCGGTAGTGGTCCTTTATTTCCTGGCCGCGGAGGTATCAGACCCAGCTACATGTCATCCGATGGAATAGGATTGAACATGCCAAATTACCAACGCTGGTCAACCGATCAAATAAAGCATAATATTTATGGCTCTGAAAATTCACTGAAACGATTGGGCTTTATTTGGAGTAGATACTAGCAGCTAGAATAACATGAAAAGTACAGGTAGAAGCTGGTTTATTCGAAACCAAATTGTAATGTGGTTTGAAAGGGGCAGTTACTTTACCTGGAGGTTCATAATAGTTATTGCGTGTCTTTAGGTTATCAGTAGCTTCAATAGCTCAGCCTAGAATGTTTCTTATAGATAAGTATTGACTACAAATTAAAACCATTTGTCAGTAGGTTAGGTGAACAATGTTAACATGTGATATAGCAGAACCATGTGATTTTGTCATAGTAGTGATATCCATATTATATATAGGTTTTGTGTGCTATGTTTAGAAGTAATACTAAATAATAAAAATAGAAATATGCTTACTGAATGAAACAATTTATGTGCACTGCCTTTATCTTCATGTGGAACGTTAATTTTACATATAGTCTATTTACTTGTTGCATGAATGTGTTTTGTAACGTGTGAACGAATCTATATATAGCTATTAGTGACAATAATTTGAGGAATTCTAATTTCTTGCAGCAATAGTGATGATATACTTTATTATACGGTACATTTGTGAAAATTACTGAATTGTAATTTTGAAAATGTGACCGAAATTGGTTCTGGTTAGAAATAAATGAAATCTATTTTTCAACCTAACAATAACAAAATGACCTTCATGACTGGATATAAACGTAAATTATTTAAGCAATAAAGTTCATGTATTAAACTGAAACAACATAATATTCGAAGTATTGTGTTTATCAGATTATCTTTGGAAGCTAACCATAACCATTCGGCATTATACTCGTCATCAGGACTGCTCGTCATGAACATGTCTATACAATTAAAATTAAAGGCCAAGTGTTGCGGACAACGATGCCATTTCAGAATTTTTGAAAAGCGTCACTGGATGACTGAGAATGAGTCATGGGATTTCTGATGACTAGATTTTATATACAAAACGTTGCCATTGTACAATATAGTTTCAAGTTATATATGCACAAATTCTACACTATCGAGTAGTAAAAGAGCACAAACTGTGATAGTAGATGGGGTAACGGGGTAAGTGGCCTCTGTTCCCAGTTTATCAGGTAAAAATATACTATTCAGGGGCGTAGCTATGGTGAAATGGATGTGTACGCAGACAGGCGAGGGTCTGGGGGTCCTCTCCCGAAAATTTTGAAAATGTAGATCGCAGGAGATGGTATTTGAGGCACTTTTGACTAAATGTACAACCTTCACACATTCTGACTACGACAATTATATTTTTAGTAGAACTATTCTCTTCATGAGCAACACGATGTGATCACTAAAGATCACTAACTAATCATGTAATTTTCGTTTTATTATCAAGACATGTTGAACTAACGCACATTCATAAACTCTCTCATTCTCTCTCTCCCTCTCTATGTGCGTGCGTGCGTGCGTGCGTGCGTGCGTGCGTGCGTGTGTGTGCGCGAGCGCATGCTTGTGCGTGTGGGCGCGCGTGTGTGTGTGCTCAAACACACATCACTCATTGCACATCACATCACATCACGGCAACGGTCGCGTTCATTATTCAATGTGTAGGGGTGACCACCGCTGGGATGAGGGCGACAGCAAAACTCTTTCTTAGAATAAGCCAGTTCGTAGTTAGCCAAGGAGTTGTGTGACGTCACAGGTCACCGGGTCATTTGTGACAAAAATCGATGAAATCTCGAGTGCGGCGTGCGCTCTCGGTTCAGTACGTATATGTACACGTATTCTGTGTACGTGTACACGCTCTCTCTTAGCCTATAAAGAATGTAAAGGCTTTCAATTTTTTTATAGAAACATACTCTCATGTCTTCTCTTTTTAAAAACATATAATCCATATAAATGGGACCTGATTTCCTCTAGCAGGAATATAGCGGGCATGGCACAGATACGTATCAATTTTTTTTATAATCAATCGCACTTTTGGAAGATTTGCCTAGGCCTATAAGGTATGTAGCGAGTCATTTGAATCATCATTTTTCACATCTAGTTACTCCTGAGTATGTGCTCTCTGCAGACGTATAGTTTTAACAAAATTGTATGTATATATACGCAGCTAGCGGAGGGGGACACATGGGCAGTTGCCCCCCCCCCATGACCGTAGCAGTGCCAACACCAAATTACGTATGGTCAACAGCCTCGACCACACACCACACGTGGCTTAGCCCCTCTAATAAAAAAGTACCGCCCTGGTGTGGTGACTCCAACTCTAATAGTAAACCACCACGTAATTACCTCCTCGCAAACGGAGGTCATGCAATCGCTCGCGCGCGT